AAATGGAGGAGAGAAGGGGAGTGGGTGGGTTGGAGTCTGTTGGGAGCTGGAGGCTATGAAAGAAGCTGTCGGGGGGTTGAACCGTTGAAGGGATGGGTGGCCCCGGGCTCTGGGGTGGACACACACGTTTGGAATGGATGCGGCAAGACCCTGTGGCCATAACGCTCCAAGCGATACAGCGGGGTGCGCAGGTCGTGGTCCTGTGCAAACACCAGCCTGGTGCACACGCGTGCACGGCCCACCTCAGCTCGTCTGCGTCCTGCGAGCACGCATGCCACATGCTCTCTTTCCACCCCCCCCCTCCACTCTTCCTGCAGCTGAGCCTGGAGGAGCAGCGCGCGGTGCTGAGCAAGCGGCGGGGTCATGTGGTGGGCCGGCGCACGATCCTCAAGTCCATGCCCCCGCCCGTCCCCGGCGCAGGGGGCACCCTGGACGGCCAGCCGCTGCCGGGCGTGGCCGACGTGCGTGCGGTGCACGGTTTCCCGGTCTACACGCTGGGCGGGGCCAGCGTGGCGGGCCTGCGCGCCCTGCTGCGCGCGCTGGGCGCCTGGCGCGGCGTGCGGGTCGTGGTCACCGACCTGCGCGAGGAGATGGCGCTGTACGTCGCGGGCGAGGTGTACCTGCGCCGCGAACTCGAGTCCCCGGCCGCGGCCGCGCACCATGCGGGCATCCAGGGCGACAAGCTGGCGGCGCTGGAGCGGCGCCTGCGCTCCGACGCCCTGGCCGAGGCCGCCGCCTGGGGCGGGTTCCTCCTGCTGCACCGCGAGGTGGCGAGGCCGGTGGGCGGGGAGGCGGATCTCGACGGCGGCGGTGGCCGGCGCATGGGCGGAGCCGCGGCCCCGGACGTCGATGCCTGCGCGCCGCGCGCGGCCAAGCGCGCCCGGCCCAACGACTTCTCCTGCGGCGTGCTGTTCGCGGAGCGGGGGGGGGAGGCAGGCGGCGAGGCGGGCGCCCAGGCGGCCGCCGCCGGGTCCGTCTGCCAGTCAGCGCCTGCCAGCGCCACGGAGGACATCACGCGCAGCACCCAGTTCCAGCCCACGACGGAGGTACAGCCTTTTTGGGCGGCGGTGGGCCCCTCGGGCGACGTCGACTCGGGCCTGGCCACGCCCGCCGAGGTGTTTGCCGCGCTGGCGGCCGACGGCGCGCGCGTGGCGTACCGCCGCGTCCCGCTCTCCCGCGAGCGCACGCCCGCCGCCGCCGACCTGGACCTGCTGGCCGGGCGGCTGGCGGGGCGCGCCGCGCACGACGTGCACGTCCTGCTCGGCCGCAGCGCGGCCGGCAGCTCCTCGCGCTTTGCCGCCGCCCTGGCGGCGGCCGTGCTCGCGCACGCGCGCGCGCGCGAGGCGGACGACGCGGCGGCGGCGGCGGCGGGCGGCGCCGCGCCTCGGCAACCCACGGGCACGCCCGACGGTGGGTCGCCGCTGGCGCCGCTGCCCGCGGGCGCCTCCCCCCGCTCCGGCGCTTCCTCCGGCGCTCCCTTTGGGCGCGGGTGGCGCGCGCCGGCGGCCAGCCGCCTGGCCCCCACCCCGCCCCTCCTGCGCCTGGACTCGGAGGTGTCGGAGCTGTCGCGCAACGTGGGCGCGGGCGAGTACCGCGGCATCATGAATCTGTGCCGTGTACTGCGTGCGGGCGCCGACGCCAAGGAGGCCGTGGACGCCGCCATCGACGCGTGCGGGGCCATCGGCGACCTGCGCGCCGACATCGCGCAGTGTCGGGCCTCTTGCGCCGCTGCGACGGACGGTGAGTCCGCGACGACTGATTGGAAATTACGAGGGAGGGGGTTAAGATCCCGGGGAGGTGCTGATCGTGGTTGCTTTAGATTGAACCAGGGAGCACGGGCTTGTGCTTCCTTGCGCCTGCATGGCCCGCCCCTTTCGTCAACAAACGGGAAGAAGCCGCTGGGACGCCTGTTGTCGAGGTGGCCTCGTGCCGTGCCCTTCCTTCCTCCTCATCCCCAACAACAGATCCTCTTCCCACACGATCAATCGCAGACGAGGGCGGGGACGTGGAGCACACGCATGCTGCGGCCTCGGCGGCGCGCCGGCTGGGCCTGCACTACCTCCAGCGCTACTTCCTGCTCATCGCCTACATGGGCTACATGGAGGCCGTTGCCCCGCCCCGCGACGTCTCCTTTGCGCAGTGGATGGGGGAGCGGCGGGAGCAAAAGTACCTGCTGGCCACCCTGGAGCTCGAGTGAGGGCGGGGGAGAGGGTGTGAGGAGGCGAGGGGAGCGACCAGGCTGCCAGCAGAGAGCTGGACAGTGGCAGGGCAGCCACAAACAGGGAGTCAAAAAGCGCTGGATGCTTCTGAAAGGCCCTTGGCAACTGGCACTGCCTCACTGACCCAGTATAAGGCGCCCTGCAGGCTGGGGTATAGTGCATGGAGTTTTGGGGGTTATATGCCCCTGGCTCTTCGCCACAGACCAGCAGCCCTTCTGTTTGCCGTGCTCACACACAGGCCTCCCAGCATGCCTCTACTCATGCCTGTGAATGGGGACACGATGTACTGAAAGCCGGTACAGACATCATGCAAACCAAAGGGACTGCCGCTCCGACAGACCCTCCATCCTTTCCTCTTCAGCGCAATTCTGCTCCAACAACGACTACGCGCCCTGATTGCCTGATCTAAAGATACTTGGGAGGAAGCCGCAGCCCTGGCACGCCCCACAACTCAACACCTTTTCACTGATCAGTGGACCAGTTTGAACACCCAGTCTGCTCTACCCAATGGCATTGCAGGCCTGTCACGTAGCACGCACCCCGGCCTTCGGGGGCAGGGTGGCCACCCTCGCCACCCGCAGGGTGGCCACAGCTGCAGGCCACGGCACATTCTTCGTTGGAGGAAACTGGAAAGCCAATGGGAGCACTGCATCGGTGAACACGCTGGTGAAGGAGCTCAATGAAGGTACACCGGGCGGCGGAGCGAGGGTTTAGGTGCTGGCCGGGGGTGCTGTACGGGGGCGAACACGGGCTTTAGATACCTTGTGTTGAAGCGATGTTGGAAAATCCACTCGACTGCAGACATCCATTGGTTCCCAGCGGATGAGGTTGCAGGGTGTGTGGTTGGCTTCGTGGACCACCTGATCAGTGTCCTTGTTACATGCAACCAACTACCTGGTAGCCTGGCCTGGCACCCTGGCACACCGGGTACTCTCGACTGAGCATGCACGCCTCGAATCTCCCTGTTATTCAGCGGGGAGCCTGCCCAAGAATGTGGAGGTGGTGGTCGCTCCTCCCTTCATCTTCCTGGATCAGGTCCAGCAGAGTCTGCAGGCCCCATTCCAGCTGGCCGCCCAGAATTGCTGGAAGGGGAAGAACGGGGCCTTTACTGGGGAGATCACTGCGGAGATGCTGGTGGACAAGAAGGTGCCCTGGGTGATCCTCGGCCACTCTGAGCGAAGGTGCGGCGCCAGGGGACCGCGGGGCAAGGCCGGTTGTGCTGAAGGGCGGTGTCGACGCCCATGGTGGGGGTCCGGCAGAAGTCTTGCATGCATGCATGCATGCAAACATGTCTCCCTCGCGGACCCCACAGGGCACTCATGGGCGACTGCAACGAGGTGGTTGCCGAGAAGGTGGCGTACGCGCTGTCCAAGGGCTTGAAGGTGATCGCCTGCATCGGAGAGACGCTGGAGGAGCGGGAGACGGGGCACATTTGGGACGTCCTGGAGAACCAACTGCGGTGGGTGTGACCCGGGAGGTGGGGTTGAGGGCGAGTGCTGGAGAGCTTGGGGTTGTGAGGGGGCGATGGGGGTTCAATGCGGTACAGCTGATGGCTCTCGCGCGGTGTGGGCAGCCTGCAGGGTTTCATCATACATAGCCTCGTGATTGGTCTCAGAGGACCAGCGCCACCACAGTCCTGTGCGGTCTCAACCCTGGCCTCTCTCTGTGGCTGTGTGTCTGCGTGACGCGGCGCGCCTGTCACCGCGGCACTGGCCCATGCCCACGCGAGCACTCACAACCCCAAACATGGCCGATGCCAATGCCATACAGCTGGCCACGTCTCCCCTCCACCCATCCCCCTCGCCCCTCACTTCACCCCTGGGCAGGCATATTGCGGATGCGGTGACGGACTGGGGCTCGGTGGTGGTGGCCTACGAGCCGGTGTGGGCCATCGGCACCGGCAAGGTGGCCTCCCCCGAGCAGGCGCAGGAGGTGCACGCCTTCCTGCGCAAGTGGCTGCGGGAGAAGGTGGGCGCGGACACCGCCGCTGGGGTGCGTGTAATCTACGGCGGCTCCGTCACCGACGCCAACGCTGAGACGCTGGCGGGGCAGGAGGATGTGGACGGCTTCCTGGTTGGGGGGGCGTCCCTCAAGGGGCCGTCCTTCGTCACCATCTGCGGCGCGGCGACTAGCGTCGCGCAGCCCGCCTGAGGGCGACGAAGGCCGGAAGAGGTTATTCTTCCCCCCATGAGAAACGTGTTGCGGCCTGCGGCACAGGCCCTTGCTCCTTCCCAAGCTGTATTGTTCCACACTGGCCACATGGGATCAGCAGAACTATGTAGTGTGCTCGTTGTACGGCGATTGAGGCAGACCCCGTGTAAGCAACCAGAATCGTACAGTCGCTCAACGTCACCGACCGGGACGGACGGGGGTGGGAGCGCGCCACGCACGGACGCTAGGCCCGACCAGCCGAGGTCGCTGGGCAGAAGTCGACGCAGGGCTGGAGAGCCTTGGAAACTGGATTCGACGTTTAGATTGCACATGCCGGGCTCCTACGAGGATTGAAAAGATGGAAACACGCAAAGGACCGGACCTGGAAGGTTGTGTGGGGTAGACCAAGTGCCTGCTGGGTGCTCCCACAGCGGACGCACCTCCATGCTGATGCATGGACCGTAGACTGGCGCCATGCTGCAACCCACGGAATCCATGCGAGCCCTGCGCGGTCCGGATGAGCTGTCAAGCACTCCCATGGACATGCCGGGCTTGCCTGCCTTTGCCAGGCGCAGGAGCACTCCTGCGTCTCGCTGGGTACGTACGGGCTGCAGCCTAGGCGTGAAGACGGGTTACATGTCGTGATGGATGTTTGCCAGCCAGTTGAAGGGGTGCCTGAGCTGGTGCTCGCTCCAGCTGAGTGATAAAGCCCTGGCGGTTCCCTTACAATCCCCACCCACCGCCTTCCTTGCCCTGCAGCGCCCCTCCCGGTGGACGGGGCAGCGCGTTCTCCTGGGCACGGCCATGCTGGCGCTGCTGACGGGAATGCTGCTCATCCTGGTCCCCCTCTCCATCAATGCGGCCCGGCGCACGAACGTCCAGCGGCAGACTGGGCACGCTCCACCCCCGCCCCCACCCCTGGTGGACGCCGAGGGCGTGCCCCTGTTCGGAGCGGGTGACGGCGGCGGAGCGAGCGAGGACGGGCTGGACTGCGCAACCACGCTGGCCGTGCCCTACGAGGCCTACGTCGCCGGCGCGGAGGCCGCCGATGCAGCCCTCTTCGGCGCCCCCTTGAACGACCTGTCAGCTGAGCGGGCGAACACGACCCTGGCGGCCCTGTCGCGCTGGACGCTGCGCCTCGCCTTCTTCATGCTGGTGGAGCCGGGGCAGAACGCGACCGGGCTGGCCGCCTTTGCCGCAGGCCAGGCAGCGCTGCTGACCGCCGCCTTCCGCGGCGCGGGCATCGCCTTCTCCCCCGCCACGGCGGTGGCCGTGCCAGTCGGGCCCGGAGGTGCGACGTGCGGCGTGGACGCCGCCGGCGCGCCGTCGCCCGCCGCTCTCGATGCGCTGGGCGCCGCCGCGCCCGTGGATGTCATCACCGTCCTGGCCTGCGACCTGGCCGGCGGCGTGCGCGGTGCCAGCGCCGTGCTTTCCAGTAACGCTTCAAAGATCCCGGCGCTGGTGCTGCTGCACCGAGCGGCGCTTGTCTCCAGCGAGACAGCGCTGATCCACCAGATTGGGCACCTGCTGGGCCTGCCCCACCCCTTCCCGGGGGTCGCCACCTGCAAGCGGGACGGCGACTGTATAGCCGACACGCCGCTGCAGCACGCCGCCAACACGGGGTGCCCCGACCCCTCCACCTCCGACATGAACCTGTGTCCGGGGACCGACGGCGCAGTGCCCATCTACAACTTCATGGACCTCACCGACGACGCCTGCAGGTGC